GGAGCTGTGGCCAGTGGTGGCTTCAGACAGCTGCCACTCTCTGCCGTAGTTTTCCGATATCCCAGTAATTACTGCTGTATATTATCCACCTGCACTGGAGCTAAATGTTTCAACCAAAATGGTTGATGAGAGGTTGCTGCCTCTGCTGTGAGAGTTAATGAGGCAGTAACATCTTACAAACAGGAACCAGAAGTTGACTCCTTTGTGCCAAAAAACTATTGAGATATAGTCCTATATTTATATATTCGTATGTTTGTGTGGAGTTATTGGCTTGCCATTTTTTTCAGTCCTGTAAGTTCTGTCGAATTTGCCTGTGATGTAAATTGAAGTAGAAATGATGAAATGTGCAATAAAACATTAGTGTTAAGTTAACGTGAAAAGTATTATTGTTACTTCTTCAAAAAATGAGTGCATATTGACTGAGAAAACTGACTCTCTATCCCTTTATTGCTGAGTGCAAGGCAGCTAGGGTACCAACTAGTGATTTCGCGATTCACCCGTTTGCATGATATGATATCCCATACACTTAATTTGGCATCAATTCACATTTAACCCCATAACAGATGTTGATCTCGCATCAATATCAATAATCAAGTACAAACTAATTTTTATTTTCTCATAACTTTCTTGGTCGTCTTTTGGATGCAAAACCGTCCCAATGACAAGACAGCTGGACCAGCGTTTCCTTGCTGCCTGTTAAAACAGTACGTAAACTTTGTTTCTTATTGTTTTCTCATACAGTATAGTTCACTGGACTCGTGTGTCATGTTGATGGGTATGAGTCAGTTGTCAAGTGTCTTTCTTTACCTTTATGAGCGAGGCTAAGGACGCTATTCCAAGTCTAATGACAGGCGTTCCACATATATGCAGTTACAATCAAGATATGTATTATATCTTGGCGTCTGTATCAAGGTATGTATCGCTTCGTGTGACACCTGTATCGTGACATCCCTTGTAGCAACCATCTACCGGTATTAACATCTGTGATGTGGCTAGGGGATCGAACCAATCAACCTACAGTCACCAGGCAGATGCTCTACCAATTAGACCATGAAGACAGTCCTTGGAAATAAGGTTGTGTATATATTCATATATTTGGGAACACTTGTTTGTTTTAGCTTATCAAAATATTCAAGATTACTAGGATTGTATCAACATAATTTTGACAAAAGATGAATTTTAGTTAAACCAAAGCGTTGTCACAGCAGTGGGCTCTGCATCTTATAGCCTGTACAAGACCATGAAGTGATTCAATGACGTTCTACGCCTTTTGGGTATTATGACACACAATCAACAAAGTTACGAAGCCTGACCACTGGATCAGAGGATGGTCGCTAAAAGCAGTACCGGTACAGGTTACTGGGGATCTATTTAACCTTGGAATCTTCACAGGGAAGATACATTTGTAAACTGATGACAACCTTTGCATTTTTCACCAAATCCTCACGACCATTGTGACATGTTAGTTATGTCTTGTTGGGAATTCTTCACAGATATCATGACGTCAAGGTACTACGGAATCATTATGACTAGACATATTCAAGGTATACTTTTAGAATCAGAAAATAATTGGAAACGACTGTTCTGTTCTTTCTGACCATATCTCAACTGCCTTGTGCTGCATATGGGTCTTGTGGTCAGGGTAGACAAGGATGTGGATCAGGAGGACACAATGGATGCTGTGTATGGCTGTATAGCTGACCATATCTCATCTGCCTTGTGCTGCACATGGGTCTTGTGGTCAGGGTAGACAAGGATGTGGATCAGGAGGACACAATGGATGCTGTGTATGGCTGTATAGCTGACCATATCTCATCTGCCTTGTGCTGCACATGGGTCTTGTGGTCAGGGTAGACAAGGATGTGGATCAGGAGGACACAATGGATGCTGTGTATGGCCATATAGCTGGAGTCAGTGGACTTTGTGTGACTTCCTACACTGACTGTATATACAGTCATTTGATTTATTTTGTCTGCTCAATGCCTCATCAGCTTACATACTTAGAAGTTAAAGCAGTAAAAGTGCCTACTAAATCCTTAAAAATTATTTCATATTTTACTTAATACAAAGACACCATTTAAATATGGATCAATAATGCAATCCTTATTTGCGAAAATAGATTATTTTCAAGACTAAAAACTGAAAGATTCAGATCAACAAATAACAATAATACGGAGACCCCTTGCCACATCCCTTTGTCTTTTCGGACAATAAAATATGTTTAAATAATATAAAAAAATAACACCTAACTGTTGCTGAATCCAAACCAAGAACCAAGTTATTCAAAATTTGCAAATTCAAACCCTTCATGAACATTGAGCTTAAATTCATATAGACTAAACTTTTAACTTGATCACGATGTGAGCAGGATGATGGTCCCATCAATGTATTGGTCAATATTTCAGATACATTTTTTCAATGATGTTATTCCTCAACCAAGTTCCAGCATGAAACTACAGGTCACTAATATTGCTCACATTGTTCAAATTTTCCCGCACACTTCATCTATTATGTAATCAACAAAACATGACACCACATGATCCTACAGCATCAAAGATAATGGTCTTGTCAACACCTAAGCAACGAAAATATAACAAACCAGCTTTGAGGACAAAACCACATCATCCGAGGAGCCTCCGGCAAATAACCCTATTTACTTTAACCAGCTAACCTTCAGGACATAATGAACAAAAAGACTGTCTCTTAGCTTCCATGATAATGAGTAAAACCAAATATGGATACTGTACAATGTCAATTTACACAGCATTCCTCATTGTACAGCACAAAACCTCATCTGGAATCACACATTCATGCAAACAGTTACTGAAATATGCATGACCCAAGGATCAATATCTGATCTTCAATTTTCAGAAATGTGTAGCATATATGCTCTCAAGATGGATTTAGTGCTAAGCCAATATGGCATCAAATGAATAGTATTTGTACTTTAGCATGTCTCTGTGCAAGATGTATTCCTATGACGTGGGGGGGAGGGGGTGCTTGCATTGACAGATTTATCTCCAGCTTGTGAAACAATGACAGACTTTTTGGCCATGGGTATTGCTATTAGTACCAGAACAATACAACAAACTCTGTACACATGCACAAGGAGTCATAACAAAATGGGAGAAGTAATCTTTTTATTGGAAGTTTCAAAATGACATAGGTCTGTTCAAATTATGCAGCATTTTGCATTCATTTTGGTATTATGAACACTTAATAATAAAAAAGTGTAATTATAAACTTCGGGATTGTATGAATGTTTTTTCCCAGGGCGGTAATATCTCCATTACGCCAGCATATGTGATGCACAACTGGGCTTGAATATGTGGCAACAAGCTTGAGCCATTAGTTGCAGTATTGATTCACGTCACTGGTGTGAAATGTCACATGGAATCACACATTTCACAGGTAGCATAGGAAAGAAAACTGTTCTGGTTCTTGTTACATAGCCAATCCCTTTTTTGTACAACTTTACAATTTATTAAATCACACATTTCACAGGTAGCATAAGAAAGAAAACTACTCTGGTTTCTGTCACTTAACAAATCCTTTTTATTTATTAACACAATTATCATACACATGTACATCACAAAAATGACTTTATCGGCGCTTTTTGACAATTTTACAATTAATAACACAATGGTATACAACCAGTGTGACTTTTGCTGTGTTTCTCATATTCTTTAGGGGAAACTAAATTTAAGAATAACTGTCTAATACCTAAAAATAAAATGTTATTTCCATGTGCCAGAGAATAACCAGTCTTGACTGTCCAACGAAAAGAGATTCCACTGGGAATGAAAAGCAAAATACCAACAAATTTGTATCCACGTTGGCTGTAACCATAATTACATTTCTATTTATAACATTTGGATGTGATCATCCAATGCAATATGGCCGCTCGGTGGCCATTATGGACAACTAATCCCTTTATATTTGTCGTTTATGACAAGTTAGAAATTTTAAGAACTACTCTGAGAACAAAATAATCTTCATGTTGAGAGTCTTTATAGCCATTTTAAAATTACAAAGGTGATGAAAGGGCAAGAAGTAGCCCTGAAACATTGTGTATGTATAATAAAGAAGTTGTTATCTGTATTTATTCCTTGTCATAAAGCTTGATATTGTAATTCAAAACTTAGTAATCTTCTTCTGAATATTATAAAGTTTTATGTATGGGCATATGAAAGAAATGAGTCGCATTTTTTTCTGTGGATAAAATATTATTTGATATTTGGATATTGTAATAATACTACAATAAGCTTACTTTACACGTCAATTATTAGTGGAGATGTTATTTTATACATGTGCTGCAGAATGTGTTTACATATAGCTGAAGCCATTCTCCCAACAATCACAAACAACTATGATGTCACATTTGATGTGCACATGTAATTCTCCAAGCTTATTACAGGGATACCTCATTCACTCAATAATCTAGATGGATAACAGAGATAAGGTGCCATGCACTGAGATGGAGCTTGGCATAATAGCTGAATCCTGTTTGCCTAAATTTGTGATGTGATATCTTTTTTATGGGTTTTTTCACAGTTAATAAAATCAATTTATATCAGCCAATATGTATGATGCAAGCCCCCTTTCGACTAACATCTGATATCCTTGTACAGTGCAAGATCATAAATGTCTTAATTGGGTATTGGTTTTCACATATCTATGTATCTCAGATTAATAAAACATAAAGATATTGCATCTGTGATCATGTACCTTTAAGGAATGGTTATTTGTTAGTGCCACAGACAGCATTGACAATCTACTTTGTTCTCTACAGAAACTGCTACAACGTTGCCTGAAGAAGGATTCACTAAGCACGATCCATGCGCAGCCTAATTGGTGCCAAAGTTATTGAATATATCATGTTTGTGTTGCAAGAACAGAGCTCAAAGGTTAAAGTAGAGTGTTTACTAGGGGGTGCCTTCTGCTGAAGGCATCCATTTGATTAGAGCCAGTATATCACTGTGGAGCTGTGCGTCACCTACCTGTGGCTACCAATGTTAGCGCCGCCAGACTGACCAGAACGTCCAAAGGTAATATCCGTATCCGCCAACTGACCATTATAGCACGATAGAGAACATATCCTGGAACCAAGCTTTCACAGACACCTTTTTCACCGGTGCCATTATTGATATAACATTAGTATTATTAACTCTCCATTAAGTTGTTGGCTGATGGCTTAAGAGCTCATTAGAGGATCCTAGTCATTGGTTGAAAATTCTTGTGTCCGACATACACTGGTGGATAACTTGGTAGATTGGACTCCCTGTCACAATCGGTGTCTACTGCATACAACAATTCACACTAACTGTCACAGTGATATTGATATATTCTTCTTGACCACTTGAACCTATTCGGGTCATCAGCACCTTCAGAAACGACTATTTCAACTCCCGAAATTGCAAATAATCTGATTTTTTGCACATCAGCAAACAAGAAACTGTTCCAAATTACATCGGTTGATTGCAGCAACAGATCGATGTACCTTGAGATTTTCTGCTCCACAGGAGTTTAACTCTTTCATTTTGTGCTGGTCGTATTCCATGCACTATTAGTTGATTGTGGTGTAATCCAGGCTGAAGGAGGTCTCTGCTCCCCTTCTCTGTAACATACAAGACCAATCACTGACAAGTCATCAATACTTCCAACACACCGACACAAACTCAACCTCATCCCAGTAATCAGACACATTGGTACTTCCTGCAATATTTAACTCCTCCCAACATGTCAATACCCTGATACTATCAGGATATTATATTTATGAACATTTCATCACATATTTATGAGCATAAAGTGTCCTAATTATGCTGATACATGAATTTGGAACAAAAACACACAAATATTTGGTTACATGTAATTCTAAATACTCACTCTTACATGGTTCATAACTTGGATCATGAACATACTATTAATCAACATGAACAATGACACTAAATAATGATACATTCGAAAACAAAGTCCTGTCTGAGTTAACTTGTCATTTTGGTATTCAAGTACATGAACCACTGTCTACAATGACAGAAACACGCTACAGTAATTACCCAGAGCTTAATAAGTAGCAGATGTCAATAACCTAAAACGCCCCATCCTGGAGCTTGACATCACCCATCCCGAAAGCGTGCACTTACCGTGGTGTGTATGTATGACCTGGAGTACCTACATCCTCTCTGACTTGCACATACCTTCACACCAACACTCATGTATCAATAATTCCCCAATATTGATTATGTCAACTCACTCTGCTTGCTGCACAAGTCTTCCTGCCCCTTTAACACTGCTAAGCATGTGTGGGAGAAGGCTTGCTTACCGATCGTCTTCAGCAGCCACTGATGATCAATCGTCTCAATCCCAGAGCTACAGTGGGTTTGATCACCACTAACCAAAGAGTGACAACAAGACTACAATGACAGCGTGTATGTACACTAGCGTCAGGCGTAATGGTAGTGTCAGTGCATCGTTACCTGACAGAGGTGTGGGGACTGATACACACTTAGAAATATTTCAATCTAATATGACACCAGTATCACAATAACATTCAAATGAACATGAATTTTTGCTCTTTAAATGTGATAGTTCATATTCATGTTGGTTTAATATTAACAAACTTTCTTGTGTATTTTCAAATAATATCCTTACAGCTCATTCAGTATTGATTATGATAGCAATAATGTAATTTAATAATTTTTTAAGGCTTGTCATACTTTTGTAAATGTTATTTAAAATAGAGCTTATCCTCATAATCATGTTGATAATATAGTTACAGAGACATGTTTTGTTTTAACCGAATCATACATGCATAGAACTTATAACAGAGAAATTGTCCCACTTATTTTAGCAGCTTGTGGTAGCTGTATTGAAGATTTATACTCACGTCTTAGTCAGGAGTCTAGTTGTAACAGCTTCACAGTTTGACTTCTAACTTCACTGATCACACCATTGATCACAACTTGTTCGAAATAACAAACAATAATCCCTTCACTGTACACAATAACTCCTTTCTCCTTGATATTTGTGCTGCGTCATATGAATCTACCTCAGTGCATTCAAATTTTCAACCAACCATGTGTTTCAAGGCTCCAATGACAGATTCTTATCTTTTAAATGAAAGCAGTTACTTTGTGTCCACGAAATACTGCACACGTATCATCGGCTGTGACTCTTCAGTTCAGCAACATCATAGCTGCCGTCTCCTTTTCAAACTAATCACGAGCCACTGATCCTATCACTTGTCAAACTAACCAGCGACATCAGTTTACGAAAGATCTAAGCCGCTGTGCCTTATAATCACATCGGTTCTCGTATTAATCCAACACACAGGTAATAATCAATCCACTGAGTCGCTTGATCATGTGTCTTGTCTGCCGAACACGAGACTAAACCCGAATAAGTCTGTCCCGACGCCTGTCCAACGCTGATCATCCGGAGCAGAGTTCCGATCCTCTCATCTCAACACTCCTCGTCATAGTCGGCCAACCAGCTCACCTGGAAGAAGACGGACAATTAAATAACCTCACAGGGTAAATATCATTAGCCGGTAGCAAGCTCCTCTGCTGTGTATCAGTGTACCCACTCTCACTGTGAAAAGGACATGGTTCTCTCCGCTCCACGCATTCTGCAAGCACAACACTGGGTGGGGACACATTCTTGGTAATGGGGGTGGATAGTAGGGATTTATGGGCACAATAAATCAGGAGCAAGGCGTAGGGACAGGATTACTGTAAACATTCAGGCAATTTTGTACAATCATAAATTGGTCATAACCATTGATATATCTGATTTAAGTTGTATCCTATCACCGGTTTGATACCATGTATACAGTCAAGATACCCACTGAAGGGCTCCACCTTCATGTTCCACTGTAGAGGTTAAGTTAATCTTAGCCAGATAAACTTTAAAGAGATTTTCATGATACTGTACTCACAATGCTTTGGCACGCCACCTTTTCACAATTATTGGCATGTAGGACAATTAATGAAAGTAACATATATTTTCCCATTGTCATATATGAAACATTATATACTTCACTGCATCCTAATATTTCATAAAAAAACCACAACATTTGTCATACAATTGCAATACTATCATTATTTAAATCAGACAATATGTTACACATACAGATAACAATTCCTAATTTATATACGTACCATTACCCATTATCTAAAGCCTTTATGCGTTCACCAGTTTATAGGACACAACCAGCCATGAGTGAAGCCTGAAGCTTGAAATGGTCAGTAACTTAACAAAATGTCAGTAAAATACACAAACACCCTTCCACCTCTGGATCATAGAGTCACTTTGTATCCTATTACATCCTATCAGCAGGGGTATTGAGGAACCCCGGTGATATTTGAAATCACAACTTCCCTCGGAGTATTGAAGCAGGGAGTTTGTCGATCTGGGTCCGATTCATGGCGTTAGCTGGGATATAAGCAAGGAGAGTGGTGGGGAAGTTTTCTAGCCGGTATGATCCATTCCACGCTAAACACACATTACGTTTACCCTCTGCCTGGCTGAGACTCTTCTATCAAAGCATTAGCACGTTCTGAAGACATTACATTCATCCCTTCGACATTTGGAAATACATTAACTTTGTGAATGTCTCTGCTGTTTGCATACAGGACACCTTCTTGCTGCCACTGCCAGTGAATACCTTCATTTCAATGTAACAACACCCCCATTATAGCACAAGTCTCTAGTACAGACATTTTGGATCGACTTTTCCCAGTGTGACATTCAGGCTGCTAGAAGTGACAGTCTCGCATCATAGACTGATAACACCATGTTCTGTAAGACCCTATTCCTGCACCATGACTGGAATATATTCATTTTATGAAAAAAAAACCATTCCAGATATGTATACAAAAGCAAGTCTAGCCAGCTCTAGCTAGCTCTATTCCACATATGAAATCAGCATCGGGAAAATTATTTGTTTAATTTTAGAGTCAAGAAGGGTATTGTGTAATATAAGATTACATAGACTAAATGTCAGTCTATGTAAGACCCCAGTGCTCCAGAATACAGTAAAGGCCAACCCTTTCCTCCTCGGTATCTGTCAAACGATATATTGGTTACCTCATTTACACACTCAACATCAAAGAAGGAACATGATTCTTAGAAAAAAACATGTTTATTGGTGTGAGGAGTGTAATCTATGATCATACATACCAGTGTTGAGTTTCATCTGGAGGATTCAAGCACAGAGTACGACACTAGAGGGGGATACGTTGCATCTATGTCATCACTATATTATTTGCTGCAAGGGATTCGTCAATAAAATACCCCACACATGGACAATCTGTTTGCTGTTTGTTGTTATTGTGTAGTAGAGATTGAAGTTAGTCCCATTTTTCATTCAGACATAGGCATGCATGTGTGTATGGAGCAGTAAACTGGGTGTGTTTCCAATTTAATTTACATATTTATTGACATAGTAGAAAAACACATACATATAGGAGTATTTATAGATACAACTTCACGTCCATGTTGAGTGCATATAGCAGGGACTTATCTAGGATTCAAAACTAAGTGCCCTTGACAGGCAAATTGGGGGAAATTGTTATTATTTTCAAAATTAGAATAGGAAGCTGACATGTTCTTAAATTCAGTGGTATTTTAGCATTAGTTATAACAACATGAACTGGGAAATTGCAATTTGGGATATTTACAGACATTTGCTGCAGACTTGGGGAAGAATGTCGACCTCTAACCAGGTGTAGATACATCACTGATTATATAGTCATTGTCCTTATGTTTAAAGAGAAATTAATTTCATTGCTGAAGAGTTGTGAAAATAAAAAAATAATTTATACATCCATATGGAGCCAGTTATTTTGTCATATTAATGAAAGTTTGTCATTTCATTGACAATAGGCTTTTGTCCTTTATGTTTATTAACAGAATGACTGGCTTCCCATCTGTCTGTCAGTCTCTCTCCATATTTCCCTTGTCTGTACACTCATAAATTCAATTGTCACTTACATCTGAGTAGTGTACTTTTCATCATTAATTTACATATATATAAATATTTTAGGGTAATGTTGTATTATATTCTCAGAATAATCATAAATGTTACTGATATACAGATGATGTTGTAATATAACCTATACATATATCAAACATTTATTGACGTATGCTAATGAGCTTATTATTTCATCTGCTGACTGATGATCGAGACACTCACGATGATACGGGACAGATGCATCCAGTCTCCCTTCAATTTTTTTTTAAATTCAGTGGTATTTTAACATTAGTTAAAACAACATTAACTGGGAAATTGCAATTTGGGATATTTACAGACATTTGCTGCAGACTTGGGGAAGAATGTTGACCTCTGACCATGTGTAGATACATCACTGATTATAGTCATTGTCCTTATGTTTACAGGGAAATTAATTTCATTGCTGAAGAGTTGTGAAAATAAAAGAATAATTATAGACATCTCTCTCTCTCTCTCTCTCCATATTTCCCTTGTCTGTATACTCATAAATTTCTCTCTCTCTCTCTTCTTTCTCAGAATAATCATAAATATTACTGATATTCAGATGATGTATAACCTATGCATATATCAAACATTTATTGACATTTATTGAGCTTATCATTTCGTCTCCCTTCAAATCCAAATGCCAATTACATCTTTCTATCAAACTCATGTTACAAACTTGAATAAATCAATAAAAAAACACCAGTTAATACTTTTAACATATTTAGATCACACAATTCCGATATTGTCAAACATGATTCCACACATCAGAACAAACATCCCCAGAAGATGTATTCTTGATTCAAGTCTTAAGTTCAAAGTTTTACAGTCATGAACCAAATGTTAGAATTGGCATGTGTGTACTAAACTCTGTCCATATTTCACAATGAGGTGGGGGAACACATAGTTTCAAATTCCAAATTTAATTGCCATTTAAATCCATAGTCAAATTGCCGCCCCCACGTCCATCATTACCCTATGTATGCGTCAATGCAACATTGCCACCAATCCAGACTATGATAAACGTGACTGTGGAGACACACAATAAAATGTCAAGATGTAACTGTCCACCAAACATGTAGATTCCTTTGTGTAGATGTCAGAGAGATTGAGAAGTGACTGGACACACTTTAATTGCTAATCAGTGGAAGCTTCAGCCATGGGTTCCAATTACACATAAAGATGAGATTTTTTCTGAAATAATATTTGTAATTATGAAAAAAGGAATGTAAATTGATATTGAACATGAAGATGTTAGTTTTAACTTCAAATCATTAAATACCACGCTTTTGATAAAACATGTATTCATTTGCAAACTTTCAACTTTTGTCTGAGAACAGCTTGATCTAGTACAAAAAACAAAAGTTGTTATCCAAGTTGTACATTTCTTATTTACCTGTCCATTTGTAGAATATCAATCAAACAAAATTACAGGGAGAAAGAATGACTATGGTATTAATCAGTTTCTAGACTAACATCTAGTCTCTGAAATGAAAATATTTTTCAGACAAAACAGTTGTTAAATTGTCTTGAAGAAATATGCTAAATGGAGCCCAGAGACTCTCTTCTTTTTCTGAAACTGCAGTTATCAGACTTGCCAGCGATCATAGATCATTGACATGCGTGGGCTGTATTGGATATGTTTGTATGAAGGTCTGTCTGACAGACTACCAGTTTTCATTAATTATTACAGCTCTTATGGTGGCCTGTGTCAAGATGGGACCACACAAACCAGATACTGTGATACAAGACTGATACACAGTGATCCAGTGTATACACTCAAGAGTGCGTGAGTGAGTGAGAGAGAGTGGTGCCTGACCCAGTATATCAATAATTTAATGGTCTAGTCAATTGTAGAAACCATGACTTTTAAGAATTCTTGATTCTGATTGGTTAAAATGAGGTCTCAATTTTCCAGTTTCAAACCTCTAAATGAAACCTTTACACATGCGTATGAACTACATAATGATCCATAAAAACATGCCTGCCGATAACAATCAGAACTGCATTCGTTCGATATCGGAAAATTATCAGATGTTTTTGATGTCCTAGACCTTAACAAGACTGGTTTGATGATTAGATGACAAAACAACACTTACAAACAAGTGATAATGTTTATGAAATGCTAAGGTGCTCGTTTCCAAACTAAAATGAAGAGGTACTGATTCTACAGTGAGATGACATCAAATTTAAAAACTCAGCAGGCTTATCTCCCAATCTCATTAATATCATTAAAATTACCGCTAAACAAAGATCAGAGGACGTCCCATTACGGGTCACGTCAGACCGACTTTGCGAGAACTTTGACCGACCAATTGATTGACTGACAAGAAGGCGACTTTAGCCAATCAGAAGGCAGCTTTCTCGTGCTTTACGGCAGTAATTTCAAATTGTTCATTTCCTCTATCGTTCGGAAAACCCCGTGTTACAGTATTCAAGGTTGCATGATTAGAAATCACATTCCAACTGTCACTTTCATGATCTGGTAAGCGACGCTCTGATTGGTCGGATGAAAGGTCGTTCTGACATGACCCCTAATGGGATGTCCTCAGATCTTTGTTTAGCGGGTGTGAGAACTAAGAACTGATTTTAATGAGATTGGCTTATCTCCTAAATATGAGATCATTTTACTTGGAGTCAAACATCAAATGTTAAAAGATCAACCAAGATACACGTATTTGTTGAACCATACAACATGATACCCAAATATGAAATATCACTGACTAATGGTCACAAATGGAGAGTTTAATATGGCTGCTTAATAATGCATGGTCAATATGTGCCAAGATCAAATTTGAAAATCCTGGAAAAACATGCTGAGTGCAACCATATACTACTAATTACAAAATATCAATTTAATATATACGAAAATAGATGTTGCAATGTGTTTTCCAATATGGCAGCTTTTGTAGACAAATTGGTTCAAGCGCTCTTGTGATAATTTAGGTGTTATCACTGATCAGAAAATGCATGTCAAGTTCACAAGCCCAGGTGAACTAAAACTATAAGCTTTACCCAGATTATGTTTTTTGTGCATGTTAGCAATAACAGCTACAGAGGAAGCACCAGGGCAGAACATGATGAACCTTTTTACACCTTTTTACCCTGGTGTCATCACTGATTTTCAGAGGAACATTCATATAATTTTCACAGCTATTTTGCACTAACTCGGTTAAAGCGTCCGGTAACGCATGGCTCCCAAAACTTACTTACATTTTTAATAAGCTCAAGTTCTACACTGACACAATGTTTTGCCACATCTAAAAAACAACATTATAAGCTGATCACCGCGAGCAGGTAACTCTGGAAATACCAGTCAACAAGCATGCAATTCAATACCATTATTACACTATCTGGTCATAAAAATGCGTTCACTGTATATGTGGACTTATGTTTGTACTATATTTTATTAATTTTATTCAAAATTTCATTTAATATTGGGGGCGGTCGGGTAGCCTAGTGGTTAAAGCGTTCGCTTGTCACGCCGAAGACCTGGGTTTGATTCCCGACATGGGTACAATGTGTGAAGCCGTGATATTGCTGGAATATTGCTAAAAGCGGTGTAAAACCATACTCACTCACTCACTTATTTAATATTGTTTACATTAGTTTTGGCAAAATTGAGTGTGAAGTGATCAGTAGATTGCACAACTCACCATTATTTACAGCAACCGCGTTCAA